CCGCAGGCCAAGCCCTGCCCCCGCCCTTGACCCCGCCCCCCTGGACTGGGCCCAGCAGAACCAGCGCCTGGCGGAGGAGCTGCAGCAGGTGGGGACCTGGATGCCCGGGTTTGCGGGGGGTGGCCAGGAGCCTGGATGCCTGGGTTCCAACCTGTCCTGCCCCCCACAGGCACTGGAGCGGGAACGGGGCCTCCGGGCGGAGCTGGCGTCTCTGCGGGAGGAGACACGGGCGCAGGGGCGGAGCCAGGCCGGGCTGGAGGCCGCGGCCCAGAGCCTGAGTGCAGAGGTGAGACCCCCCAACCCAGGCACCTGGGTCCTCTGCGGGAAGGGCGGGGGCAGGCAGAGCGGGACCCGGACACCTGGGTTCGTTGGGCTTTCCGTGTCGCCCTCCCCCCCCAGACAGCAGTGCTGCGGGCCCGGGCGGGGGCACTGGAGCAGGAGGCGCGGGAGCTGCGGGGGGAGGCAGAGGCGGCGCAGGGGCAGGCGGAAGCAGCGCATAGCCATGGCCTCGTGCTGCGCCGGGAGCTGCACGAGAAGGAGCTCGAGGTACCGGCTGGGGGGCCAAGAGGAGGTGCCAGGAGGATCATGGCAGGGCCATCCTGGGGCACCTATTCCTTGAGGAACCTAGAACATACGCCCCCAAAGCCTTGGTAGCAACCAAGGGGTCAGCAGGTCTTGATGGACCTAGAACCCACCCACCCGGGAGGGTTGGGGGCCTTGAGGAACCTAGAACCCACCCCTTTAGTCTTGGTGACCACCAGCAGTCACCAGGGCTTGATGGACCTACAACTCAGGACCTAAGGCTGGGTAGGCAGCTGGCTGGGGTCATCTGACACCAGCGCTCTTTCCTGCCCAGGCAGGGGGTTGGACTCGATGATCTGTTGAGGTCCCTTCCGACCCAACATCTATGAATCTCATGTCTTCATAGGTTGAACAAGGCATACCTGTGGTTGGTGGGGGTTGAGGAACCTAGAACCCAACACCCTTAGTAGCAACCAAAGGTCTCTAGGCCTTGATGCACCTAGAACCCACCCACCTAAGGGTTCAGGAACCTAGCACCCAACCCCCTTGGTCCTGGCAGAGACCAAAGACCACCAGGCCTTGACGAATCTAAAACCAACCAAACCCAAGGGCTTGTTTGGCCTTGAGGAACCTAGAACCCAACCGTCTTGGTCTTGGGAGCCACCAAAGAACCTGATGGACCTAGAACTCACCCACCCTGGGTTTGTTGGGTCTTGAGGAACCTAGAACCCAATTCCTCTGATCTTGGTAGCAACCAAAGGCCTCTAGGCCTGGATTGTCCTAGAACCCATCCTGTGGTTGTGAAACTTAGAACCCAATGCCCTTGATCTGGGTAGCAACCAAAGGGCATCAGCCTTCAAGGACCTAGAACATATGCCTTATGGGGGTTAAATAGAGATTATCTGGGAAACCACTGGCCTTCAGGAACCTAGAACCCACCTGTCCTGAGGTTGAACAGAGGTGACTTGATGTCGGTTGGGACTGGAGAACCTAGAACTCACCCCCTTTTGTCTTGGTAGCCATCAAAAAGTCATTATGCCTTGATGGACCTACAAGCCACCCATTCTGGGGTGGAGTAGAGGTTACTTGGGGTCTGGTGGCCTGAAGGAACCTAGAACCCACCCCCTCTACCTTGACTCTCCCCATAGGCTGAATCATTGAGGGCAGAGGCGGAGGAGCTGCGCGGGGCCAACCGACGGCTCCGGCGCCGAATCCGGGCTGTCTCCGAGGAGCTGCAGTTCCAGTCGGCCGATAATGGCGTCTCCCTGAAGGCCGAGCTGGAGGGGACCCAGGGCCCCGAGCCCCCCAAGGTGCAGGGACAGGGCCAAGGGTAGGGTTTGGGACCTAGAACCCGACCACCATTGGGTCTTTTAGCCTTGTGCAACCCAGAACCTTCTGCCCATTGGGTTTTTGGGCCAGGAAAGACCTAACATCCTCTCACCATTGGCTCTTTAGGTGTTGATGGAACCCATTTGCCATTGGGCCTTTAGGCCTTGGTGAACCTAGAACCCCCCCAATTTGGGGTTTCTGAGTCTTGAAGGACCTAGAACCCGTCAAGGATTGTGTTTTCTAAGCTTTGAGGGACCTAGAACCCACTCACCACTGGGTCCTTTAGCCTCAAGGGACCTAGAACGCTCCCACCATTGGGCCTTTAGGCTTTGAGGGACCTAGAACCCACCTACCCAGAGTCACCTGGCCTTGATATACCTAGAACCCACCCAGCCAACCTTGTCCTTTGGCTCAGCCAATGTTGGGAGGGCTTTAGCCTTCATCAGGCCAATCCCATGAGGCCACCAGGTTCTAGCCCCGCCCCCTCGCTGTACCCCCACAGGCTCCGGCACGGGACAGGTCTGAGGCGCTGCCCCAGGATGCACTGGAGGAGAAGGAAGTGGAGATTGAGCGGCTCCAAGATGAGGTGGGGGTGGGGGTGCGGGGAAGGTAGGCGGTATCATGGACATCTGGGTGGGGGGAACTGGGCCGGGAGGGGGAGGGTAAGACTGGCCCTGGCCCTGGCCCTGGCCCTGGCCCTGGCCCTGCCCCCGCCCCTGGCTGACCCCACCCCCTCCCATCCCAGCTGGCTGTGCAGCAGGGGGCGCTACAGGCGGCACGGGAGGAGCTGGGGGCACAGCGGGGCCTCCTGCAGGAGAGGGACGGGGATGCGGCACTGAGGCAGGCACTGGCCCAACGCGACACCGCCATCGACAGGTCTGGCCCCGCCCCCCACAGACACCTGGTGCTCTGGGGTGGGACTAGGGGTTTGGGAGCCGGACACCTGGGTTCTCCGTGGTGGGAGCAGGGGGGCTGGGAGCCTGGACACATGGGTTCTCTGTGGTGCAGGTAGGAGGACTTGGGGGTTTGGGAGCCTGGACACCTGGGTTCTTTAGGGTGGGGAGTGCGAGCAGGGGGGTCCAGGAGGCCAGATGCCTGGGTTCTCTGGGAAATGGGGGGGTGGGACTAGGGGATTTAGGAGCCCAGACACCTGTGTTCCCCACCCTCTTCGCCTCCCCCGCAGGCAGGGGGTGCTGGCTGAGACGCTGGAGCGGGTGACGCGGGAGCGTGATGCCCTGAGCCGCCAGGTCCTGGCTGCCGCCCACCAGAAGTGGGCGCTGTCCCGGGAGCTGGAGGCCTGGCAGGTAAATCGTGCGTGTCCCGCGGGCCTTTCCTGGGGGGGGTCTCAGGGGCACCCGGAGGCCTGGGCTACCTCCCCAGGCAGGAGGGGGGCACCCCTGGGTGGGGCATGGGGAAGGGGGGGCCTGGATGCCTGGGTCCCCACCCACTGTGCCCCCTCCCCCCCCAGGACGACATGCAGTTAGTGATTCACCGGCAGCTCCAGGCCCAGCGGCAGCGGGAGGCCGGGGCCCCGCCCCCCGTGCACCGCGGCAACAGCGCCCCCCACGGCGGCCACTTCCTGTCCTTCTTCCGTCGCAGCTGACAGGCCAGGGAGCCAATAGGAGCCGGGGGCTGGGGCGCTGAAGGTTCATTTTGGCCTAGCCCCTGGCCTCACTGCCCTCACTCTAGGCCTGGCTTTGGCCTGCCAGTGCCTCTGGGTCTCTTTCCCATACCGATGTTCTAGGTCCACCATGGGTTCTAGGTCACTCAATGCCCGCTCTAGGCCTGGCTTTGGCCTAGGCTTTGGCTTCATTGCCTCTACGCTAGGCCTGGTTTTGGCCTACCACACACTCCCTCCCGTAAGCCTCTGGGTCCCATCCCCCTCTTGGTGGCTCACTATGATGTTCTAGATGTTTCCACCATGGGTTCTAGGTCACTCAAGGCTCACTCTATACTTGGCTTTGGCCTGTATCTCACCTAGAAGCCCCTCCCTCTGCTCCTGGCCCAGACGCCTGGGTTCCCTGGGAGGGGAGTGGGGCCTGGGTTCCCTCCCGTGTACATGCTCTGTGCCTCAGTTTACCTCAATTCAATTAAAACCATCTTTATTCCCAATTTGCGCCCATTTCTCCTCCCCGGTCCCCCACCCCCAAGGCCTCTGATTGGCTAACATAATTTCCCCCATGCCACGCCCGATGCTGTACATACCCCCCCCACCTCCGCAGCACTGTCTGGAGGAAGCTCACAGCACTGTAGCTTTGGGGGTCAAAGCCCCGGCCTGGAGCAGGGCCCAGATGCCGCGGGGG